TCCCCGCCATTTATGGTGCCCCCAATGTCTTTATCAGTCTCACGTGTGGAAGGATTCACAAAATCATTAGCCACTCCTACTTCTCAGCTGTCAGTGACAATGGATCTCAAAACAAGACAAAACATTTTTCAGAGTGCCTGGTTTAGAAGATCAGCTCATTTGATGCTTTAGACAAAGCTATGAATATATCATATTTAAAAATCTGCCTTTAGAAATTGGAGAAAAGTTTTTGATAACTGCATCGTATATATGTAAATGGAAATGTCTTAAAGCAGTTATACCAGGAAGATGGCTGACAGCACCACTTGATCCATTTTATGGAGCTGGGGAGTGTTTAACCCCACCCCCTTCACTGCTATCTATCCTGGTCTCCGCTGTCCCCCCGTGACGGCCTACGACAAACACGGTGGGTCTGTGCACCTCAATCAGAGGGAGATCAGCAGCTGCTGATCTCCCCTTTGATCACTGAACCCGGAAGCAACATGTATTACATCACTTCAGGTTTTGGTCTATCATCTCTCTGGCTGCTGTGGCCTGAGAAGAAGCTAATGATGCAGATCTCTGCTTCATCAGCTTCTTTGGGTTTCATAGGTGATATTGGGGTCTAATAGTTCCTTGATGTCTCCATAAAGAGGACCTGTCACATCCTCTTTACTATCTCATAAGGGGTTTGTTAGCTCCTTATGTGATAACAATTTAAAGTCCCCTGCCCCCAATTACATGCAAGTACAAATGCAAAGAAGCATCTGGTGCAAATACATATGAAAATGGTGATTGTTCCAGACAGACCATAAACGACAATAATTCTAGGGACATCAATCACTGTTAACCTTAAAGTGATGAGTGATAAAATGTTTTAAAGCATCACCAATGGGCAATTTTGGGTACTGTAGTGCTTTGCCATTTCACGGGTGCACGCAATTATAAGGCTTGACATGTTTGGTATCTATTAACCCAACAGGACCGCATCTTTTGTATTATTATTATTTGGGTATTATAGTCTGTTTTTGTTCGCTAGAATTCATTTTAGTGCATTTTATCATAAAAATATTGGTTTGTAAAAATATCATGTGACATAAAAAATTGCAACTAGCACTTTTTTATTCTACTGGGCCTCTGCTTTCAGAAAATATATAATTGTTTGGTAACTTTAAGCTGTATTAGCCAAAATTTCAGATTTTATTATGTGTGTGCAAAAATTAAGAAATTGCTCCGGACGGGAAGTGGACGATTCCTTTTTTAAATAGTACCTATCAGGCCACACATCCCTTTACATATTGAACTCTTAGTTTTGGCTAAGCTATGGTTGGTTATATCATGACATGGTTTTGTGCATGACTCAGAGATCTTAGCAGGGAGATACTCCTACCGTGGTCCCTGTTTCTTGCAGTGCACAGAGCTATTGTTCACCAACTGTACACAACCTTATTTCAGATTTCTTATGACAAATTCTGAATTCTTTTTCTAATATAGGTATTGTGAAAGACTTTGAATGCAAGATCTACTGCTGACGTCTTCCTGGTCTGGCAGAAGATCTTATTCTGTCTTCAAAACTGCAGTTGAAAGTGAAGCCAAAACGTTATTTCTAAAAAAAAAATTCAAATCTAGAGAGGAAGTCAAGAAAACATTGGCCTTTACCTGAGAGTCCAAGTCGTTCACAGTAAGGCTCAGGTTAACCAGTTGTTTATTCACAAAATTCACTATGGCCTGTAAGGAAAGAAGAGAGACATGTTTATAGAATAGTATTAAACAAGAGTTTAGTGTTAGATAACTGTACCTGCAAAGGTAGAACATGTCATTCTGTAAGTTTGCTAGTGGGTATCATTGCAGAACCACAGCTGGTACCATGCAGGTAGCCTGATGAGGGGTAGGAAATAAAAGTTGGTGATCTTGGATCATGTGGTTTTCCGAGGGCCTGGAAACCTTTGCAGAATTTGTTTTGTGTCCCTTGGAGCGTACCTATAGTTTTGAGTCAGGTGGAGCCTACTTATAACTTCAGCTTTTCACCATCATGGCAGAATTATTTGGAGAAGATAGGTTTTTCCAGGTTGAGGTAGGATCTCAAAGGAGCCCACACTGCTGAGCTGTGATATCTCCCAATTTGCTAGAAGAGTATAATTCGGGATCTCCTCTGCTACCCATCCCCTGATGGTGTCACTGAGCATGCATAGTCATATAGGATAGGGAACCCATTGCAGACCTTCAACCAGAGACCCAATTCTATGCCTTTCCCCCTAATGCAGTGCATTACACTTGTTATTTAGAGTGAGTGAACAGAGAGATACTGTATATGATACTGTATATGAGCAAGTCAGACTATACTTTTACAAGTAAACTGATTTTCAAGCAACATCGAGCCTACAATGACAACCCTATGATTTTTGCTGGCCCTGATTATTTGAAAATAGGAATGTTTATGCCCTGCTTGAAATACAGCGTCTTCAAAAATAGAACATTCTTCCCTGTAGGGCTACCCAAGACCGTTCTTTTTTGTGCAACCCCTATTGGTAAGTTCCGCCTATTACTAATAAGCTTTTTTTATTGGTCTCAAACTATTCCAGTATGTGCAAGAGACAGGTAACAAAACAGGTTATATACACTCGCTCCTCCAATCTAGCGTATGATAAAACTCTCCACTTGCATCCTGGAAGCAATGTGAATGAAGTGAGCTCATATAATTCATTTTGACACATACTGTACCCTATTTTAAAATTATGTTGGATTTTGTATCATTTCGATTCGATATAGGATTCTGTATTTGCATGTTTGATTGTGGTCTTATGTAGATGGGGCTTTTTTTTTCTTTTTTAAAGGAGAAAGCTATTGTAATACCCCCTAGAGTCTATCAGGGACCCCCAGTTGTCAGATAGACTGACAGTTCTAAGTTCCATCCTCAGTGTAGAGGATTTGACCTTTAGTTGGGTTGTGAACAAATGGGAGTCAGTCAATTTTAAATAGTTGATAGAGTTTACTTGTCACCATAAAATAAGGGAGAGAGGGTAAGGACACGACATGGTAGACTTCCAGGGAAAACATGATCACAGCCTTCAGAGGTAAAGGACCTTCAAGCCAGACCGGCATCCTATGAATAGAGACAACTGGCTGTGGTAGTCAATGCAGCTTTATCTTCATGGGTAAGACACATTCATCTTGTAAGATCCAAGCTCCCCAATGGCTTATCAGGCACCTCCAGCCAAAATCCCTCCTTGATGAAGCTTCCCAGGCTCAGAATTCACTTTTCCTGGAGAACACCCTCCAGCAAGGCCATGGCAGCCTAGGTCCAAGACTCAGGCCTTAGTATAATAGCACATGTTTGACCTCCCGAGGCAGAAGGCCTAGGACGATGAAACGTCTGGCACACACCCTACCAAGGCAGGAAGCGAGGGACAAAGATAGCTTACAGCAGGTTCTCCCAAATATTTATACCCTTGCTCTACTGCTCTACTGCCCATGCAACTCCTAGTGGGTGGCCTGGGGGATATAAATATGTATAACTTAGCATCATTGTATCTTCTTGCTCTATTGTTAGGGAAAACTTTTGGTGCTCATGAAAGCCCAATAGATGCACTTGGTCCCAGTGTGTCAATAAATTACCTGTTTTACATCATTTATCCTGTCTGGGTTCATTTCAAAGAGTTGGTCAAAAGCATCTTTCTCTAAAAAGGAAAGGAAGGTAAATTGAAATATAAACTATATTTTATATCTATGATAACTACTACAAACAAAGGCTTTTCTCACGCAGATTTTCTACTTAGACAAGCACTGGGCAAAGGTAACCTTGTCTTTTGTTATTTTTTATATGTCGATAAGTTCGGTCATACAGCAAAGCAATGTTAAACAAAACAGGAGGCAGATTTATCATAGTTATGCAGCTTGATTTATAAATTATTTTAGATGCTATAAAGTTACACTGCAACAGAATAAAACCTGCCATTGACCACCTCTTCATATAGCAATAGACTAGCGGATAGAAAGTCAGCTTGTTGTTTCTGTGCCCCAGTTAGTGAGAGTTCCTTCGTTCCTGTTGTGGAAAGAAGTGGAATTAAAGCACTGGACCCGCAAGTGAGCACCCCCCTGAAATGATGGCAGATATCAAAGAAGCTATTGCTTCTCATGCTATCCACTGTTTGTTTTTTTGTATTCTGACAGCTGCTGCCGTCAGAATATAAAAAAAAACAGCATAGGAATGAATAGCTAGATTGCTATTGTCTATTTCAGGTCCACCTCTGCTGATTGACAGCAGCAGTGGGAGGGTACAATAGCTAGTCTGCTGTTGGCTATTGCAAATTCAAATAGCCAAGAGAAGCCTAACTATTCATTCCTATGTTGTTGTTGTTTTTTCTCTGACTGGTGGCAGCCAGCGGCCCCCGATGTCAGGGAAAAAAAAACAGATAGCAGGCAAATGTTTACTCTGCTAGAGAGCGGGAGACTCCCAGAACGCCCGGGAGAGTTGGGATATCTATGGCTGTAAATCATTACTTGAAATATTAAGCAGCAAAACTACATACTGATTTTTAGCTTTTGACAACTGGAAAATAGTTCAGTGGTTTAGATGTTTGCAGCACTGGGGGTCCCTGGTTCAAATCCTGGTCAGGACATTATATGCATGGTGTTCTCCCTGTGCTTGCATGGGTTTCCTCCCACATTCCAATGACATTCTGGCAGGTTAAATGGCTCCTGTCTACATAGGTTGTAGTATGTGAGATAAGGACCTTAGATTGCAAGCTTCTTGGGGGCAGAGACTGATGTGAATGTACAGTATGTAAATTGTCAGTGCTATATAAATACCAGTAAAAAAATCAATAACTGGGGTCTTTTCAGTTTAAAATGAGCCACTGTGCACCACCAAGGAGGAGCAAGATGTGATGTATATGGCCCATAAACACTTGTTTCACATGCCTGCCTCTTTCAGTTTTAGGTTTCTTTTCCAAAAAGAAGCCCAAGACGAACCAACTGGAAGTGAGTACATCATAAAGCCGCCTGCCATGTCAGTTTCAGCTTTCATTAGTGGAGAAGAGCATAAGTGGGCATATGGGCATAAGCTTTGGTAAAAAAACAAAATCAAAAACCTGCTAAGGTCAGCACATCTACGAAGGAGACTTTAAAAAGTTTCCCAACAAGGGTAGAAACGCCATTTTGTTTTTTATAGACTTGCCAATCACTCAGTCATGAGCCTCCAGGTCTCCATAAATCAGCCCCCCTTGAAAAAAAATGTCAGCTCGTTCTTGTCCTTCGATAATTATGGTTGCCAGCATTTACAAGCTGCCTATCAAATAGTGGTTCTTATCTGTGCCCACTCTGTGCCTCTAAAGGCCTGTCACTTTCTCCAGCCAGCCGCGGCTCAGGCAGCGAGAGGAAAGCTCGCAGAGAATCCCTGACAGCTTAAGCATGTTCTCTACGGTTCCCATTTACGCCAATTAATCTTTATTTGCCTTCACCCCATAAGGCCCGGTCAACGTCTCCCTTAGTTGCCACAGCAACAGCGTGCATCCCGCCACCTCCAAGTCGGGCTTAGTCACTTTCAGAGGGGTCGTTCCGTTTAGTCCTGCCAAACCTGATGCTTAGAACACAAGCGTAGAGTCATGAATTAAAGATGATATGACTTACTAGGAGCCGCGTCTTCCTCTCTGCGGTGACCCAGGGGAGCGCATTGCGATGGAAAATGTAATTTAATGAGGGGAACAAACAAGGAAAAAACATAAGCAAACTGGCTGTAAATTATAAACAGTATTTTTTTTTCTTTTTCCGACTGACATTGCTGTTTTACAAGTAAAAAAAAAATAGCAAAGGGCTTTCCCCTTTGAATTTCACAGGGATTACGTACACTTGCTATCACACTGCATGTTACAGGGAACATATATAAATAAAGAACCCGGGGAAAAAAAATGACAATAGGAACTAATTATAGAGGCTTTAAAAAAAAAAAAATAACTACGGGAACAGAGTTGATCAAAGCCCACAGTGATCAATCAAATTTGTTCTTTCGTTTTCATAGAGAAGGAAAGACTACTAATTGGTCACTATGGGCAACAGCTCCCTTTTCCCTTTGACTAAAGTGGAGGTGGCATCAGGTATATTTTGTCTTGATAAGTACATACATGTTAAGTTATGTGTCATTGCAATACTCCTAGCTATTTATAACCTCTCACAGAGCTCACAGTACTTCCCCTGACAATTCCTTCATCTTTTTCTCCAGAAGGATGGAGTCCTCTCTCTTTTAAGCATCACCCAGGGTCATCTACTTCCTGGACTGAGATGCCGCATCAGGGATGACATAATCATGTAAATCCTGGTGCCGGTGTTCTATCGAGAGTTCCAACTTGTCGACCTCTCCAACTGGTGACCTCACATCCGGTGACTGCTAGTAGATCTACAGCAGATGGTGCTAGTGCGCATGCCCAGGAAATCCTTGTCGAACTGTCTAACTATTGCCACTGCGCCTGCACGGCTAGTGTCTCATCGATTTCTTTAACCTAGTGCAAACTTATATTTGTCCTGGGTTATAGAAGCTGATGAGCCGATAGCCGCGCAGGCGCAGTAAGGATTGCCTCATCGGATTCTATAACCAGTCAAAGGTTATATTATGTTACAGCGCCTGAGCGGCCACATGATTCTTTCTACAACCACAGTTGCCACTGCGCGGCTATGGGCTTCTCTAACCCAGGACAAATATAAGTTTGCACTAGGTTAAAGAAATCGATGAGACACTAGCCGTGCAGGCGCAGTGGCAATAGTTAGACAGTTCGACAAGGATTTTCTGCCCATGCGCACTAGCTCCATCTGCTGTACATCTCCTACTGGCAGTCACCGGATGTGATGTGCGCAGTCGGAGAGCTCGACAAGTCGGAGGTTTCGATAGAACACCGGTGTAGTTCTTGTGTATGATCACAAATATCTGACACAGACCAGCTCCTCTTGCAGCGTCTTACCTTGTGCCTTTTTACAAAGTACAATGCTGCAGTCTGATCACAGGGAGTAGAGGAGACTGAGGAAATGCTTCCTCCTGCCTGCAGCAGACTGATGACATCATCTCAGCCTAGGCAAAGTCACTGGACTGGAACTTTATGACTGCTTTATAATAAAACAAAGGTATTGTGCTTAATAAAGTATTTTCCAAATCAATAGCATTCGCTGTCAGGGTTTCAGCTAACTTTATTTTAGATCCATACCTGTTTTTATTTTTGTCATACTGAGGCAGACTTTACCAGTGTCATTAGTCAAATCAGAATGACTGGAGCTACCGGATGGCTTTTAAATGATAATGGATGTTTTATCATACGTTTTCTGTATATTGCATTATATCAGGTTTTTTTAAATGCAGATTTGTAAAGTACAGAGGGGAATTGATCAAGAATGAAACAGACGACATTTGGAGCAGTTGACCATGGCAGCCAATAAGCTTCTATGTTTCATTTTCATCGTTTAACTGAACAAGCTGATTGGTTCCCTTGAGCAACTGTTGCAGATTCTGTCTGCTCCAATTTTGATAAATTCCCCTCACTGAAAGGTCCACTGTAAGAAATGTTCCCTTAGGGCCCTTTCACACTACCGTGTTGCAAAACACAATACTGCAACATACGTTAGTGCGTTGTGGTGCCAGTTATTTTGAATGACACCCCAACACATCTAGCATTGTAGTTGTGCTACGGTAAAAGAAAATAAATAAGTAATAAAATAGTAAAAAGTGAGGGAAAGTCTATCATGTGAGTGAAAGTCCACTTGAAAGTAAAACTAGAGCCTAAACATTTTTTTTTTTTTCAGTAAGGGAGGTTTATAACCTCTGTCAGCTTTTTTGCCATCTGTGTCCCATTGGGGAGATTTTCCTTCACTTCCTGTCCAATAGACGATAACAGGAAGTGAGAGGAAATCCCTCCAATGAGAAGGAGATCCCTGGTGATCATCAGGCTCACCAGAACTGGTGTCCCCATTGAAAGATTTCCTTTCTATTCCTGTTTTGATGACCACCCACTATTTGGGAATTTCTTTCACTTTTAGTAATAATGGTCACCAGGACAAATACTGAGGAAAAAAAGGGGACATAAAACAGGAATAAAAACCTCACCAGCTATCCTGCAAAAAGAAAAAGAAAAAAACACTATTAGGGATAAAAACAGAGGTTTTAGTTGTACAACTTTTGCAAAATACGTGGAAGCTCCACGGCCTCGTCAAGGCCCCTCTGTGTAGTGTGGTCCTATCTCTACTCTATGACAGCCTCCATCTTGGAGCATATATAGCAAAGGATGCATTGGGTGCAGGTTTGCAGGAGGTAGTTCAAACTTACTTAAACGCACAGGGACACACCAGGGACCCCGCACATCACAATGGCAGCTAAAGAGCCCCAGTGTGTCCCCACACCAAATCCAATAAGTGAAACAAATGGCAAACGCACTCATCAATTCATAGCTCGCTTTAAAGTAAGGTGAACATCGAAGGCCTTTACACAGTGCATAAGCAAACATTTCCCAGCACTTTGTCTAACTAATAGGGATAAAACAGAGGTTTTAGTGGCACAACTTTTGAAAAATATGTGGAAGTCACACGGCCTTGTCAAGGCCCCTCTGTGTGGTGCGGTCCTAACTCTAATCTATGACAGCCTCCATCTTGGAGAATTTATAGCAAAGGATGAATTGGGTGCAGGTTTGCAGGCTGGCTAGTGAGTGTATTGAGAATGTTTTGCTTTTGTATAGCAAAAGCATATATAGCATTTGCTATATATGCTCCAAGATGGAGGCTTTCATAGATAAGAGTTAGGACCACACCACACAGAGGGGCCTTGACGAGGCCGCGTGACTTCCACATATTTTGCAAACATTGTGCAACTGAAACCTCTGTTTTTATCCCTAATAGTTAGACAGTGTAGTTTCTTGCAGGCTGGCTTGTGAGTGTGCTGGGAGATTTGTACTTTTGCACTGTGTAAAGCCCTTCCATGTCCACCTTACTTTTAAGCCAGTTATGAATTGATGAGTGTGTTTGCCATTTGTTTCACTATTAGGAATAAAAACCTGACAGGTGTTCTAATCTCTCTGCACTCTATCCAAAACTTTTAAAAAAGATTTTAGCTTCAGCTTTTAGTTGCCCTTAAAGCTTTATGTACATATTTTGGCTTTAGCCTTTTGTGAATCTTCATTCTTGACTACAGGGCTACATACTAATTGCAATGCAGAGGCATTCTTCATATTGCCCCCTTCCTAGAACTAATATGGAGCCTGAGAGTCCGAGAATGGCACCTTCTATCTGAGGCCTTTCATAAAGGTTTTTTGTTTTGTGACGGATGTCCTGGATATAGAGAGGAAGGTTTTATTTTCCCCACATATGTACCCATTTGTGAATTGTACAGATCACCTTGATACTAAGCAAACCTCGGCTTGTGTTGCACTTCAATTACCAGCGGGTGACAGTCCCTGCTGCCAGAAGTCATTATAAGGCGACACTTCTCACCTGGAGCCGGTGAAGCATTCAATGGCTTTTCCTGTCTTCATTCCGGTTTTGGTTGGCTATGACATGGGACATAAAAACATCGGAGCGCTCAGCGTCAGCCAAAGCAAATGTCAGATATAATTGGAGCATAGAACAAGACAAATCGCCAGCGACATGCGGGAACCATATTAAGACATGACCTTTATGTTACCAGCTAACTTTCACCGCACGGAAAATCAAATTAGAGCCACTTCCTAAACAAAACATGTAGATTTTCCCTAAAACAACATTAAGGGGAACTTTTAGAAATGACTGCGCAAAACTAAGCATAACCTGAAACCAGATGTGTCGCTTCAAAAATAAAACGTACTTGTAAGTGTGAAGTAAGGACTTAAAAAACCAGACCAAAGGTTGGTGGCCATTTTGTAACCAGAAACATTCATTTAGCAGATACTTAGTAGTTTTTCTTTTACTTGTTACACAGATTTCCTTACAAATCTTTATTTGTGAGCTGACCCAGTACACACTATATGTCCAAAAGCTAAAGCTTGTTGAACATCCAATTCCAAAACCATGGGCATTAAAATGGAGCTGGCTAGAGCAGTATCCACTCTTCTGGGAAGGTCTTCACCAAAATTGTGTAGTGTGTCTGTGGAAATGCATGCCCATTCACCCAAAAGAACATTTGAAAGGTCAAGTACTGATGTTAGATTAGACGACCTGTATCGCAATTGGTGTTGCCATTCATCCCAAGAGTGGTCAGTAGAATTGAGGTCAGGGCTCTTTGGAGACCACTCAAGTTCCTCCACACCAAACCCATCAAACTATGTCTTTATGGGGCTGGCTTTGTTCACTTGAACTCAGTCATTTGTAGGGTATTCAAATTAGCTATACAGTGTACATTTGAGTTTTGAACACTAGTTCAATAGAGGCCAATGTCTCATTTATAACAGACAGGCTTACTGAACACGTCAAGTAGAGATGCGCGAAGTAACTCATAGCCACCAAGCAGAATACATTTAACAAAAGCCAGGTACACATTATATTAATATTAATAACTAAGGACATTAAAATAAGCACTTAGTTAATTGCACTTTTTTTTATAACACCTTATATATAATACTCCAGGATTTTGAAAAATTAACCCTTGCAGTGGGGCTACACGCGGTCAGGTCAGGGACAAAAAAAAAATACATTTTGGTTAGTTTTTAGTCAGTTGCATATGAAATACTGCTTATGAATATTCCATATGTATCCATGACTGTTCTTTGTTTTACATGTTTACCAGGCTGATCTTAACTACTTTACTAAAGAAAAGTCAATTGAAGCCAACCTCTAAATTATTGCATCTGTTATTTTGAAAAACCAAAAAACAGTATAAAAGGAAAGTAGTGGTAAAAAAAGACACTTGTGGTTTTAACAAATAATTTGTAGCATATTAATACTTTGTGGTCCAAATAACAGGAGGTGTAGCAGGCATGTGCCCTTTTCCTGTATGCATCATGCTGCAAAGTATCCCTCTTTCTCCTCTCATAAAGGAGGCAGGTATGTTGATACGATAGATATAAAGAATACATATACAATAAAAACATAATTACCTCCACCACAACCACCTCTATAGAAACATTGGCAGGAAGGGGTAGGTCAGGATGGAAGTGCTGCGCCAAGGCGATAAGCAAGTGTAATGTGGCCAGAAGGTCTTTGCTGTGGATCACTGTTTGAAATAAGCACAAATAAATTAAAAACATAACTTTTGTATTGCATTTTCCACGGACCACACCTGTTATGTTGTAGGAGCTCCACTTTATTGAGGATAAGCTCAAAAAGGCAACTTACTACATTTTTAGGGTCTTTGTTGATGGGGTTTTGTTTGTGCTACAACTGCTTCTCCCCCTATACAGGTCAATAAGAATGCAAACAAAGCTTGATGCAGGTTGGTGCAGCTTAGAAGGAAGTCAGCTTTAGGTCAAGAAATCAACTGAAGGTCAATTTCATCTGTCAATGAATCGAAAATGATCTCAGAAGCATCTCAAAGTGAATGTTCCTGAATTCACACTGCATATGCCCATCAACACAAGCCCTGGGAAAAGGAGTAGGCCATTCCTGGCCAATCTGCCATTTGCTAGAAGGGAATAAGGACTGGTCAGAGATCCTCATAGTCATCTAATACCGTGCTAATAAAACAGCAAACTTGTGTCACCTTTTTTTATCACCAGGTATATCTTGATTTTCAACCTTTTTTATTATTAGTATGGAATTGTCCAAACTGCTGAGTTCTGTCGCTCTCTGCAGAACAAAGCTAAGGTAGGCAAAAGTCAGACCCTGATTTGTTTTACTAGTGCTGCCATGTAATTCTGATGCTACTAGTTCTAAGAGATGCTTGGCTTTCTTCCGTCACCCTTAGAAGCTCATTGCCTTTCAAAGCCTTTCCAAGGACAGGTTGTACCTGACTGACACAGCAATATCTGCAAACCAGAGGTGACCCCCCCTCCCCATGGTAGCCTCATATCAGCTACCAGTGGTAGCCTCAGAGACATTCAGCTGAATCTCATTCACACAACTTGAACTATGCATTTCCTCATTAAGGACCCGTTCATACTTGTCCATGTTTGACAGATGAGTTTCCCACTGAAATCAATTGAAAGGTATTGAAATGTAAGTTGCCATGTGTTGCATTGCACTGTACTTCAACACTCACTGATGCACATTACTTGTGTCAACGTGCAATTATGACATGTTTCGCTGCCCATTGACATGTGTTTTGATATGTTCCCATTGATTTTAATAGAAAAAGCATCTGGCAGAAACAAACGTGTGAATGGGCCTTTAAAGCCAACAAAAAAGAAATGCTGCAGTGGAGTAACTCTGCAATGCAAGGTTTTTGTGTTCTTGTTTTTGTCTAGGAGCTAGAGTAAAGCAGATTTACTTACCTGATCCCCGCTCCCCCAACGGTAAGTGCTCTCTACTCCTCCAGCTCCGCTCCAGCTGGTGGAATGTCCCTCAGCGTTCCCATTCTGTGGAACCTGCATTAGATGTGATGACATCAGCAGTCCTTAAACTGCTGAAGCCCAAGGGAGAAGAATCAGAGGTGAAAAGTCTAGCAGCCCTTAGGGAGTAGAAGGGTGCCGGGATCAGGTAAGTAAATCTGATTTACTCTAATTAACCCTTGCAGTGCAGGGGTAGCCCAAACTGTAAGGTACTTGTTTTGTTTGCCAGGAGATGGGCTTTAATATAGAATGCCAGGCAAAACTATTTTTTTATGACTGGAGAAGGGTGCTGTCAGGGAAATGTTGTCTCACTTCCTGTCCTAGAGACTTGGAGGGAAGCATGTGAAGATCCCCCCCAACTTTGAGGAAATCCCAGTTTATCGTCACTGAAATTAAAGTTCATATTTAAAAATATTCCTTCTATTTCTCTTCTTGAGACAAGCATAACTTTTAGAATTGCCCTTAATGTTTGCCATGATGATAATGGCCACCAAGACAAGGGGGTTGATTTACTAAAGGCAAATAGGCTATATGTATAACCTATTAGCGTTTTTAAGGGGATTTCCCCTTTGCTTAGTGAATGAAGTGACTGCTGACTTCCATCATCCAATCATGTAGAAGCAAAAATTTTGCTGTTTATATTTTCCTTGAACGTGATTGGGTATTCATGGCAAAGGGAATTTTCTCTACATTCACTAAAGTACGGGAAAGGGTAAAGTGAACATCCTATTTGCAATTAGTAAATACAAACATCATTAAAATCCTAATACCGACCATTTCAGCTCTATCCAGAACTAGGAAACAAAATATTTTTGCTTGAGTTCTTCTTTAATCTCCATAATAGTTGTTTTTTTTTCGGCCCCCCTTTTGGACATGTTTTTTTTAAATCTATTTTCCCTTTCTTCCTAGAAAATTTCATCTTCTAGACCTGCTAAAAAAAATTCCAGCTGTTTTCCCAAGCTTTGCTGCTCAGGTATCTGATACAAACCGCAGCAATGAAAAACAGAAATAAGTGGAAACAGTCTTAGCAGGAAATAAGTGATTTCTAAAATATTTCACAGCTCTATATCCAAATGCAGCAAGAAAATGTATTCATTTATCAAAAAAAACAAAACAAAAATAGTCTGTAGTAGAAAAATGGAACGGCTGAAATCATTATTGCTTGACAACCAGTTTATTGTTATGTTATTTTTGTCATTTTCTATGGATATTGTTTTATATGCATCATCCTTTCGTGTGTATATATTGTATATATATATATA